CCAATACAAGAGGTATTAAAGAAGTAGGGAAAATATCAGGCTGTCATTGTACACTGCAATGTGATTCATATCAAAATAATTTGCTAAAACAACTATGGTTAAGGAAGGCATGAGGTAAACCAGCTTCCATGATATCGCAATATTTTGTAATAGGAAACAAGATGCTCTAGGATCTGATATCATACAGACCTGGTTCATAACACTTTTAGTGGCCAAGGGATAACAGCCAATGTTGTTGTTTACTTTTTTGAACACATGAATCACGATGTGAATCATGTGTCCAAAGGGGGGAGTACTGGTTAAAACAGAGTGACTGTAAAAGGCCACCAGTACTAAAGGCAGACAAACAGAAGTGGAGATTGGTTCATGACCTGAGAGCAGTAAATGAAGTAGTTCAGGATAAAGCAGAAGGTGTCTAATCCACACACACTGTTAACAAATGTTCCACCAGAGGCAAAATGGTTCTCAGTAATAGACTTATGTGGAGCATTTTTTAGTGTACCCTTGGCATGAGAAAGTAGACACTTTTGCATTTACTTACAAAGGACAGCAATTTATGGAGTACAGTGGAATTATTGTCATGTTTGTTTATATGTCAGGGTCTTCAGAAGGAAGTAGAACGAACAGAGACATGTGGTACCCTACACCTTCATCCAGGTTACACCAACTGCTGTAAGGGTTGAGGGGAGCTCGACCTGGTATCATCTAAACCGACGACCGAGAGATGAGGAAGTTGAGGATGCCGAGATCCTAGTGACGGAAGAAGGTCCTGAGCGAAAGGGACCAACGCCGTCCCGGAGTAGAGGCCCAGAAGCAGATGGTCATTATCACAACATTGAGGACCACTTGACTGCCCTTATGGCAACCTATATTGTCTATATGGGGTAGTGGCAGGGGGTGTATGGGCCTGTCATGGTTAAAAAAGCTCAACAGCAACAATTGGAGGTTAGCTTAGAGGGAAACCTTCCGGATTTGTACCCAGTACCTGACTGGGCTCCTTGTCCTCATCGTGATGGGTCAGACAATGAGGAAGATACATTGGTCTGACTATATATTCTTATAAAATGAAACCACAGATGGCAAGGCTAAGAATAAGTATATGCACATGCTTACACTCATTTTATGTTAACTTTTGTTTTAATGGTTGGGACTTAGAAAGTCCCAAAGGGGGGAATACAGTGGGGGAAAAAAGTATTTAGTCAGCCACCAATTGTGCAAGTTCTCCCACTTAAAAAGATGAGAGAGGCCTGTAATTTTCATCATAGGTACACGTCAACTATGACAGACAAAATGAGAAAAAAAATCCTGAAAATCACATTGTAGGATTTTTAATGAATTTATTTGCAAATTATGGTGGAAAATAAGTATTTGGTCAATAACAAAAGTTTCTCAATACTTTGTTATATACCCTTTGTTGGCAATGACACAGGTCAAACGTTTTCTGTAAGTCTTCACAAGGTTTTCACACACTGTTGCTGGTATTTTGGCCCATTCCTCCATGCAGATCTCCTCTAGAGCAGTCATGTTTTGGGGCTGTCGCTGGGCAACACGGACTTTCAACTCCCTCCAAAGATTTTCTATGGGGTTGAGATCTGGAGACTGGCTAGGCCACTCCAGGACCTTGAAATGCTTCTTATGAAGCCACTCCTTCGTTGCCCGGGCGGTGTGTTTGGGATCATTGTCATGCTGAAAGACCCAGCCACGTTTCATCTTCAATGCCCTTGCTGATGGAAGGAGGTTTTCACTCAAAATCTCACGATACATGGCCCCATTCATTCTTTCCTTTACACGGATCAGTCGTCCTGGTCCCTTTGCAGAAAAACAGCCCCAAAGCATGATGTTTCCACCCCCATGCTTCACAGTAGATATGGTGTTCTTTGGATGCAACTCAGCATTCTTTGTCCTCCAAACACGACGAGTTGAGTTTTTACCAAAAAGTTCTATTTTGGTTTCATCTGACCATATGACATTCTCCCAATCCTCTTCTGGATCACCCAAATGCACTCTAGCAAACTTCAGACGGGCCTGGACATGTACTGGCTTAAGCAGGGGGACACGTCTGGCACTGCAGGATTTGAGTCCCTGGCGGCGTAGTGTGTTACTGATGGTAGGCTTTGTTTCTTTGGTCCCAGCTCTCTGCAGGTCATTCACTAGGTCCCCCCATGTGGTTCTGGGATTTTTGCTCACCGTTCTTGTGATCATTTTGACCCCACGGGGAGAGATCTTGCGTGGATCCCCAGATCGAGGGAGATTATCAGTGGTCTTGTATGTCTTCCATTTCCTAATAATTGCTCCCACAGTTGATTTCTTCAAACCAAGCTGCTTACCTATTGCAGATTCAGTCTTCCCAGCCTGGTGCAGGTCTACAATTTTGTTTCTGGTGTCCTTTGACAGCTCTTTGGTCTTGGTCATAGTGGAGTTTGGAGTGTGACTGTTTGAGGTTGTGGACAGGTGTCTTTTATACTGATAACAAGTTCAAACAGGTGCCATTAATACAGGTAACGAGTGGAGGACAGAGGAGCCTTTTAAAGAAGAAGTTACAGGTCTGTGAGAGCCAGAAATCTTGCTTGTTTGTAGGTGACCAAATACTTATTTTCCACCATAATTTGCAAATAAATTCATTAAAAATCCTACAATGTGATTTTCTGGATTTTTTTTCTCAATTTGTCTGTCATAGTTGACGTGTACCTATGATGAAAATTACAGGCCTCTCTCATCTTTTTAAGTGGGAGAACTTGCACAATTGGTGGCTGACTAAATACTTTTTTCCCCCACTGTATATGGATGATTTTCTAGTACATATGTTGTAGAATGAAACGCCTATATGCCTTAAATGCTTATGGATTAAGAACCAATTAAAGGGTTAAAACAGAGCAGAGACATTTCTTTAGTGCAAACGCTGTGCTTCTGATAATGGATGATTCCCTCTAACTCCCTGCAGCTGGTCTGGGTATGTCAATGACATGTGATGTAGATAAAACTTCTTGTTGTAGCTGTGTGGAGATTGGAGTAACAATGGAACTAGTGTTATCACTTGTTTGTGCTTATGACTTGACACACATAGCCACATGCACATAGTCACAAGGAAAAACCATAGCCACAAGGTCCTGGGAGGATGGCTGTTGGCAAAGGCTTAAATGTATGTGGTTGAAAATGAGTCACGCCATGACATGTTTAAACCATGTTTAAGTATTGATTGATATGTTTTATAACTTTATAATTGATACTTTCCCACAAAAGTAACACCTATGTGAGAATGCTGTTCATTGACTACAGCTCAGCGTTCAACACATCTGCAACGCTGATCCTCAACACAGGGGTCCCTCAGGGGTGCGTGCTTAGTTCCCTCCTGTACTCCCTGTTCATCCATGACTGCGTGGCCACGCACGACTCCAACACTATCATTAAGATTGCTGACGACATGACAGTGGTAGGCCTGATCACTGACAACGATGAGACAGCCTATAGGGAGGAGGTCAGAGACCTGGCAGAATGGTGCCAGTACAACAACCTCTCCCTCAACGTGAGCAAGACAAAGGAGATGATCGTGGGCTACAGGAAAAGGAGGGCCGAACATGCCCCCATTCACATCGATGGGGCTGTAGTGGAGCGGGTTGAGAGTTTCAAGTTCCTTGGTGTCCACATCACCAACAAACTATCATGGTCCAAACACACCAAGACAGTCGTGAAGAGGGTACGACAACACCCCCATCAGGAGACTGAAAAGATTTGGCATGGGACCCCAGATCCTCAAAAAGTTCTACAGCTGCACCATCGAGAGCATCCTGACCGGTTGCATCACCGCCTGTTATGGCAACTGCTCGGCATCCAACCATAAGGCGCTACAGAGGTAGTGTGTACGGCCCCATACATCACTGGGGCCAAGCTTCCTGCCATCCAGGAACTCTATACCAGGCGGTGTCAGAGGAAGGCCCAAAATATTGTCAAAGACTCCAGTCACCCAATTCATAGACTGTTCTCTCTGCTACCGCATGGCAAGCGGTACCGGAGCGCCAAGTCTTGGTCCAAAAGGCTCCTTAACAGCTTTTACCCCCAAGCTATAAGACTGCTGAACAATTTATCAAATGGCTATTTACACTGCTGCTACTCGCTGTTTATTATCTTTACCCCTACCTACTTGTACAAATTACCTCGACTAACCTCTACCCCCGCACATTGACTCGGTACCGGTACCCCCTGTATATAGCCTCGGTATTGTTATTTTATTGTTTTACTTTTTATTTTATTTTTTTACTTTAGTTCATTTAGTAAATATTTTCTTAACTCTATTTCTTGAACTGCATTGTTGGTTAAGGGCTTGTAAGTAAGCATTTCACGGTAAGGTATACACCAGTTGTATTCGGCGCAGGTGACAAATAGAATTTGATTTGACCAACTGGTAGGGATGTTCCAAGGATTCCAGATAACACTAACCCAAGTAAAATGGTCAGAGTGAGTGTTCTCCCTGGGGTGTGTTCTTAAATTCACTCTGGAGTGCGCTCTGGGTTGTTGGTAAATTCGGAGTGTCTTCAGATTGTCCATTCATTGCTCTTGGAGCTTTCAGAGCACACACTGGAAGTAGGGTTGATCCGAGCGTTCTGACCTCACAACGGCATTCAAGCACCCAAGCTAACTGGCTAGCTTGCTAGCTACTTCCAGACACAAATGAGAGAACATCTCACTCTGACCATTTTACTCACCCTAGCAGAGCTGGTTAGGCTGTTTTCATGTTATCTAGAGCGTTGGTGACTAACTGTGCTGCTGGCAACAATTTTAATTACTTTTTTTTACTGACACCTGTCATATTCAACGGGTGTTGCATGTTCGTACATTCATCAGTTATTCTGCGCTCTAGCACACTCAGATGACAGTGCTCTGAAATCGGAGTATATAGCCTGAGTCAATTTACGAACGTACCCACGTATTAGAAAGTACTGTATCTAGCTAGCAAGCTAGCTAGTTTGGCTGCCGTTGTGAGATCAGAACGCTCGCTCCGAGAGCGAAACGCTCTGAATTTACGAACAAACAATCTGACAACGCTCTAAATTTACGAATCGCCCAGACCGCACTCCAGAGTGAATTTATTAACGCCAACCCTGGCCTAGTTCAAGAAGATCGATCTGAGCTAGGCGCTGCGTGGATTCGATTACAAACTACAATGTGCATGTGTTCACCACATGTTGTTTGATAGTTAAAGCGATTTACAGATTAAATCGTCTATTCTGTGAACAAAAATAAATAGCGGACTGTCTGAGACCTGGACTCAGATGTTTTTGGCGCAGATTATCTCGCTACATCGACCCTTGTGAACAGGCCATAGGTTGACGTAGTCACAGAATTGTCAATGTCATGCGCATTAGGGTTGTTGTTGAGTTTGTTATGACAGGTTGAGGCCTCGGACTAAATTAGGAAAGGAACCCTGTCTCTGTCCAGGGAAATCCGCGATGGAGGGCATGGATTTGGACCTGGACCCGGAGTTAATGCAGAAATTTAGCTGCATGGGCACTACAGATAAAGACATCCTCATAGCCGAGTTTCAGAGAATGCTTGGGTTTCAACTGAACCCCGCTGGATGCGCCTTCTTCTTGGACATGACCAATTGGTGAGTTCGGGGAATTGTGGCCTCTCTGTGATTGCTAATCCTAGGATTTTGGTAGTTGCATGACGGATAGTCAGCCAACACAGTTTATTTGTGACTTTCTTTTTATTTACAATTCAACGAGCCAAAACTATATTGTCTTGTGTATATTCTTAGATGGAAAATGTAATGTAATTAAATTGGATTGTAATTTGGATTGCATGCTAGCTAATTGGCTACAGCTAGGATAGTCCTTCCTTGGTTGAAAAATCATTGACAGAGCTGGGTCTATTTGCTATTATTCTATACAGGGGGACGTGTAAATTACATATCTTTATTTTCCAGTGTTCAGTTGTGTTATGGTAAGACTAATTATAATGTCTGGAGAGGGTCTTCTTGAATTAACTTAGCCTAGTATAATTAGCAAGAGTAGTCATCGCTAACAAACTACAACAGAAGGCTTCAACCAAAGAGGTTCGTTTGTCAATTCTGATTTTCTTTTTCAACTATGAATTTATTTCCACATGAAAGTGCCCAGTCGTTACAGAACTGTTAGTGCTATCCGGTATCCTTGGGACGTCCCTATCCTAAACACTATCCTTACCTTATCAATTGTAAATGTGACTTCAATTAGAGTAGGGACATTCCAAGGATCTCTGATAGCAAGGGCCTTTACAAGAACTCGGCCTGCCTCATGACAAGGTTCCAAGACCCTCCTTTAGCTCAGGGAACGCGCTGCAGCCTGTGTTATGTAACAATTTGGTGCAATTCAAGTTTCACGGGCAACAATGTTGCAGGTGGAAGCTTTGCCCCCACACAACTGTGTTCTGCAGTGGAAACGTGTCACAATTAGTTTTTTAAAATGTTTACTAGTTAGTAGTTACACATCATCATGTCTCGCTGTCGTTCATCCTTGGTACAGTGCAGTTTATCTTCCAAGGTTGTCAATGTTATAACACCATTCATTGACTTACGTTTTTACAGTTTCCCTTCGTCATTGCCTAGGGCTAGTTAACTAGCAACATACCACTGCATCATGGCAAATGGGCGTTTGAAGGCCTTTATTTGTAATTGCGCTTCCAGAATTCGTTGTCTAAAATTAGAACAGCTGCACTCACAGCTACAGTATGACAGTAGGTATGTTGCTGTACATTCAGATTTCTGTAGTGTTGCTCTGAAGAACATGCATAATTCAAAAGGTCAATGTCCACTCAGCCATCTGGCCAAATTGTATGAGGAAGGAATGTTTGAAAGTGACTCAAAACCCTCTTATGTCAGAGAATTTCAGAAATATTTGGAATAGTTGGTCTTTAATTCCTGTTTACTAACTAACAATCTGGTCAAGGCCTTTAGGGCTGGTGGCTTCAGCGGGCTTGGCTCCCTGTCATTATATCCGTGTGTCGGGAGGGATCCAAGAGGCAATACAAATTTTACTGCTGAGATTCATATTTGACTTATTGACTTGACTTAAACCATTTTATTCCATAAGGAGCATAGGTCATCCATAAATAGTTTCCACACTCTGTTTTTGGCCAGTTCAATAAACAGGCCTTCTTTTGGTATAAATATGATATTGATTTTTGCTGCTGATTTCCTTGCTTAGTTTCCCCCTCTTTTTAACCTCCGGGGATTGTTGTGTTCGACTAACTGATATCCATTCCTTTCCCTAATTTGTTACATCTCTTATAGGAACTTACAAGCAGCCATCGGAGCCTACTATGACTTTGAAAGCCCCAACGTCAACGCACCATGCATGTCTTTTGTTGGGGATGTGACGATCGGGGAGGGGGAGTCTGTGCCCCCTGACACGCCATTCACTAAGACGTGGAGAATACAGAACACAGGTTGGTTGAAGTGAAAAAACCCTTTTAGGAGCTGTTCACAGTCACAGACAGTGTTGACAATAGTGTTGACAAGGCCTTACTGTTAGCTCTCAGGCTTTGAAGTTCCATCCTAGTAGTAAACAGCATCCCAAACAAGCTACTGATCGTTAGTGCAGCTGGCAATTGAGGTTATGGTTTATTCATTTCATCATGCATGTTTTGTTTGTTTGTCTCTTGCAGGAGCAGAGTCTTGGCCCCCTGGGGTATGTCTGAAGTATGTTGGTGGGGACCAGTTTGGTCATGTGAACATGGTGATGGTGCGTTCATTAAACCCCCAGGAGATGGCTGATGTCAGCGTGCAGATGCGCAGCCCCCTGGCCCCTGGCATGTACCAGGGCCAGTGGAGGATGTGCACAGCCACCGGACTCTTCTATGGGGGTGAGAAACTTTATTTGGCAACCAACCTTAATGACAAGCACACAACTGTTGTTAACTATTATAATTGTTTAAATGATCTGTAAACTCATTTATTGTTGAAACCTTTTATACATCATTTATAAAGTATACTTTAATGTAAAGTGTTACCGCAGTCTAATGTTGAATCCACCAAAGTTAGCGTTTACATCACTTGAATATATTGAAGGTCTAATCAGGGCTCTGAAGTGCGACCAATTTGGTCACATATGCGACAAAATATTTTGCTGTGCGACCAGGATTACAATTTTGATAATTGTTGTAATGATAAGGATTCGCTCTACTGTTGTTTCTGAGTGCCCTAGAGAAAAAAGTGAGTGCAGATTCGATAGCGTCCTGGTTGCACCATTACTACAGAGAAAATGGCTTGCTTCTAGATCAACCAGGGGTGCGTGCGTAAATTGCCTCCAGTGTGTCAGTGCAATCTGGGCCGTTCGTAAATTGAGCGTTGTCAGATTGTTTGTTTGTAAATTCAGAGCGTTTCGCTCTCAGCGCATTCAGAGCGCACACTGGACACTCTGGCCGACGAGTAGGGTTGATCCGAGCGTTCTGACCTCACAACGGCAGTCAAGGGCCAAAGCTAACTGGATAAAGTTGGCTAGCTTGCTAGCTACTTCCAGACACAAATGAGAGAACACCTCACTCTGACCATTTTACTCGCCCTAGCAGAGCTGGTTAGACTGTTTTCATGTTATCTAAAGCTTTAGTGACTGTAACTGTGCTGCTGGCAGCAATTTAATAAATACAACATTTGCAGACGTTTACTGACACCTGTCATATTCAACGGGTGTTGCGCTTTCGTAAATTCATCAGTTATTCTGTACTCAGGAACACTTAAACGAGAGTGCTCTGTAATCAGAGTAGATAGCCAAAGTGATTTAACGAACGCTCCCCAGGTCAAAAACATCTGACCCATATTACCGGCGCAACATTTATCTTCCTATAGCCGGGACCGCATTTTACATTCATAAACCGTGTCGTGGGCTGTTGTAAAACTACTCGCGCGTCGTTAACCATTTGTTTACACTTTGTTCAGTCATGTTACCTCATTGGCTAGCTAGCTAACATTACCAGTATATCCAAACATTTGAGGGCACAGAAAGAAAGGAAAAGGGATAGCTTCTTCAGGAGATCAAAGATCACAGCATGATCACAGACCTGACGTTTTTAAAGAGACAGTATACCATTTTCAATGTAATGCATCTCAATAGGAAAATAGTGCTTTTACACAATGTAGAAACCTAATATTCCATAAATGACTTTGTAATTTCAATGACAGGTATTCGTATCAACATTTTAGCTTTTATAATAAACTAATGTCTTTACAGTGTTACATATTAGTTTCTAGGGCATAACATAAATTCATATAGGCCCAATATAGGCTGTATCTCAATCTTATTTTCTGGTGCTTTAAAGTTCAGAGCACCAGTTCTACCAAGAAAAATGTGGAGTGTTAATGTCTCTCCCACTGTAGATGTGATCTGGGTAATTGTTAGCGTGGAGGTGGGAGGCCTCCTGGGCGTGACGCAGCAGATGTCCTCCTTCCAGGCCGAGTTCAACACCCAGCCTGCCCGCAACGTAGAGGGAGACTACAACCCCTTCGCCTCACCACAGAAACACGCTGGCAGCCACAACAACAGTCACCGTGACGACAGCGGCCTCAAGGACCCCGCGGACGCCTGGGAGGGTGGCCCGGACCAAATGCAGCAAGAGCAAAATGGACTGTCGCACAACTCTGTGAATATAGCAACAAACGGGCTCCAAAGCAACCTAGTAACTTACAGCCAGGTAAGGCCTATGTGAAGCAACAGCAAACTTCTTAGGGATACCCTTAAATGTTTAATATACCATAGCTCATCAATACAATCACAACTTTGTATTTATATAATTTTTTATATATCCACTAAATATTTATTTATCTTTTACTCACAGGGTATTCACGGACCCTATCCTTTTGGGCAGTCTTAACATGGGAAACATCGTCACAGCCAGGCAGCACTGTGTTCCTGGATTCACACCAACTATTGAGGGAGGAGGCTTTACTTGTGGCTGGTGGAGTATCCTGAGATTCATACAAACACTTATGCAAAGTCCCCCCTCCACTTTACTTTACCGCAACACAAACCAGAAGACAAAGCTGCTCTGTTCTCTCCCAGCATACGACTCAACCAACAAGATCCGACATCCAGTGTATGCATGTGTGAATGATAAGTTAAAAATGAGAGTGCTACAAATCTTTTTAAAAGAGATGAGATACAAGTTTTTTTTCTGGTCTTTATTTTTAGTTTTCGTGTCCGAATGCAGTTGAGACTACAGTGATGAAAGGAGGAATGTGTGTTTGCGTTGGAGTGTGCTTGTGCGTGGCTATGTGAGTGTTTGCGTGTGTTGTGCAATCTGAAAGAGACAGACTAGGGAGGAAAAGCCATTTATTTTGCGTACTGATCCTCTAGTTCCTAAGCTGACTCTTTTCATACTTTTTAAAATCCTAATTTCACAGTGTATACTTTTTTAGGGACAAGAGAATAATTCAGCAAGTTCAGCAGCCTGATAAGCATGTATTGTTTTTGATGTTTTTCTGGTAACAACAAAGGAAGAACAGCTTATTCACATGCAAATCCTATTTGCTGTAGCTTCACTTTTGATTGTTGGTTGGTTCTGTTACTCTGAAGATGAGCTACAGTATATCCATCCACTAGAGGGCGGCCTTTATCAAAATTGCAGTTGCCCAATTACCAATTTGGTTAAAAAAAGAAACATTTACTCAAAGAACCCTCCATATCAGGGTCAATACTTGGAAAGTAGATTATATCACCACCCTGTAGGTTCAATTTGTTTTAATAGGGCTTCATAATTTGTTCTGTGAGATTGCAAAAGTCCACATGTTGCAAAGCAGTGATGTTTTTTGCTTTTGTCATCTTGAGTTGAATGTATTTGCAGAATGTAGAGCTATGTTGTTTTGAAGCATTTTTGTTTTATCTGCCCAAAGATCTTATACATTTGCCTTGAAGACACAGCTTGATTTAAAGTTTTCAGATTTTCTAGCCATTTTTGTTAATTATTGTTTATTCCAAAGCCCAGGAAAATGAATCTGTTCTTGAAATCACAATTAGTGTCCTCTTGCTCAGACAATGTTAGACCAAATCATTCATTCAAATATATAGGCCGTCAATTTATTAGTCCCTCAAAAGTCTGTTTTATAGAATGTTTTAAGTTACTTGCACTAACTGGCTAATCTCTATGCACTGAGTAGTTTGGCCTCCAGCCCAAACATGAGCTATTTTACTATTGCTCCTTATGATGGCCAGTTATCTTTATGCATCAGTTTCATGCCTGGGACGTACAGTGGGGAGAACAAGTATTTGATACACTGCCGATTTTGCAGGTTTTCCTACTTACAAAGCATGTAGAGGTCTGTAATTTTTTATCATAGGTACACTTCAACTGTGAGAGATGGAATCTAAAACAAAAATCCAGAAAATCACATTGTATGATTTTTAAGTAATTAATTTGCATTTTATTGCATGACATAAGTATTTGATCAGAAAAGCAGAACTTAATATTTGGTACAGAAACCTTTGTTTGCAATTACAGAGATCATATGTTTCCTGTAGGTCTTGACCAGGTTTGCACACTGCAGCAGGGATTTTGGCCCACTCCGCCATACAGACCTTCTCCAGATCCTTCAGGTTTTGGGGCTGTCGCTGGGCAATACGGACTTTCAGCTCCCTCCAAATATGTTCTATTGGGTTCAGGTCTGGAGACTGGCTAGGCCTCTCCAGGACCTTGAGATCTTCTAACGGAGCCACTCCTTAGTTGCCCTGGCTGTGTGTTTCGGGTCGTTGTCATGCTGGAAGACCCAGCCACGACCCATCTTCAATGCTCTTACTGAGGGAAGGAGGTTGTTGGCCAAGATCTCTCGATACATGGCCCCATCCATCCTCCCCTCAATACGGTGCAGTCGTCCTGTCCCCTTTGCAGAAAAGCATCCCCAAAGAATGATGTTTCCACCTCCATGCTTCACGGTTGGGATGGTGTTCTTGGGGTTGTACTCATCCTTCTTCTTCCTCCAAACACGGCGAGTGGAGTTTAGACCAAAAAGCTCTATTTTTGTCTCATCAGACCACATGGCCTTCTCCCATTCCTCCTCTGGATCATCCAGATGGTCATTGGCAAACTTCAGACGGGCCTGGACATGTGCTGGCTTGAGCAGGGGGACCTTGCGTGCGCTGCAGGATTTTAATCCATGACGGCGTAGTATGTTACTAATGGTTTTCTTTGAGACTGTGGTCCCAGCTCTCTTCAGGTCATTGACCAGGTCCTGCCGTGTAGTTCTGGGCTGATCCCTCACCTTCATGATCATTGATGCCCCACAAGGTGAGATCTTGCATGGAGCCCCAGACCGAGGGTGATTGACCGTCATCTTGAACTTCTTCCATTTTCTAATAATTGCGCCAACAGTTGTTGCCTTCTCACCAAGCTGCTTGCCTATTGTCCTGTAGCCCATCCCAGCCTTGTGCAGGTCTACAATGTTATCCCTGATGTCCTTACACAGGTCTTGGTCATTGTGGAGAGGTTGGAGTCTGTTTGATTGAGTGTGTGGACAGGTGTCTTTTATACAGGTAACGAGTTCAAACAGGTGCAGTTAATACAGGTAATGAGTGGAGAACAGGAGGGCTTCTTAAAGAAAAACTAACAGGTCTGTGAAAGCCGCAATTCTTACTGGTTGGTAGGTGATCAAATACTTATGTCATGCAATAAAAGGCAAATTAATTGCTTAAAAATCATACAATGTGATTTTCTGGATTTTTGTTTTAGATTCCGTCTCTCACAATTGAAGTGTACCTATGATAAAAAATTACAGACCTCTACATGCTTTGTAAGTAGGAAAACCTGCAAAATCGGCAGTGTATAAAATACTTGTTCTCCCCACTGTACATGCCTGGGACACTACATGCCTGGTAGGCTACATGTCTGGGAAGCTACATGCGTTGTCCTCCTTGGTTTTGTTATCTTTCTATCTGCAACCAGTGATTGACTTTGAAAACCTGGCTTGCAAGATTCAAATATTTACTATTTACTTCATTACGTTGGGGCAGTTGGGCAACAAATGGCAGCAAAATAATTTGCCCCCAGGGATGATTGACTGTACTTTGACAATGTCACATTAGTGTCAATGTCCAGAACCACACCTCCTGTCATGGCTAATCTGCCTATGTTACAGTTATGCCCTGAAGGCATTTGGTAATATCTTAGATCAATTGCATGTGCTCTTCAAATTTATGAAGCAAGGTAATGACGTTTCCCCTCGTCGTAACAGGTATACACTGCCCATTAATCTCCTTGGTTGTGTCTCAAATCACCCCTTATTCCCTTTATAGTTTCCTTACTATATAGGGAATAGGGTACCATTTGGGACATACCCCACATTAGTATATTTTCTGTTTACAGTCGGATGTCATGTATTGAGTGATACGTTAGTATATATATATATATATTCTTTTTTTTTTTTTGACCGAGTCAGAGCAAAGATATGAAAGTATTTTTCCTGTATGTTTGTATGATTAAATTATCACTGAAAACAAAATGCTGGGCGTTTCTCCGTGGTCTTTATTTTGCACATACTTTAGATTTGTAGACTTGGTCAAGGTTTTTATTTTATTTTAGAGAGTTAATATTCAGTTTTATGATTTTTAAAAGAACTGGAATGTTAACTTATATCTTGCCTTGAGTAGTTTTGCAGTTACTACAGTAATACATTTCTCTCCAGATTAATTTCTTCAACTAATTAGCTTTAATCATGCACTAAAGACGCATGAGGACAAAATAATGTGTATTTATTGTGTACTGTTAGTGGAAATGGATGCCTGTAATATTTACCAAGCAGCTTGAGAAATAATAACTTGCATTCATCAACTGTAAGTTTTCCTCTACTAATGTCAATAAGGTGTCCAAATCAAAGGTCTTAAACTCAGGTTATGACGACGGTCACTGGTTTTTGTTCAGGTTCCCACTCCACAATAACTGATTATTTTCCCTGCACCAAATGTAACAGAGCCTCATTCATAAATTAATCCCAGCCATCAGTCACCTTGTGGGTGATTGTATCTCAGGTAGCATTGATCTACATTTGTTGGGCATGGTGAAATTAGACTGAAAGGTCAGCCAATCTTATGAATAGCCGATACATATCCAATTAGACAAGGATATAAACTTCATTATTATAAGGTAACGCTGCATAGGTCTGAGGCATGGATAGTGTAGAGCTCTGACTGAAGAAGATAGGGATCGCTTCCACATACAGTAGGCTAAGTGTAAAACCCCCAGGGCATAATTGATGGACAGGGTGGGTGGGTGTTTCAACTGAAGTGCTTTTTCAGTTTAAAGAGGTGTTGGGTTACGATCACTAGGTCTGCGGGGCTAACTTGCAAAAACGCTACAGTTCACTAGTTTCTGCTTATCTGCTGAGCATACAGCCTCGGGGAACGCTGCTCATTTGAATGTTAGCGACCTTGAGCATTATGTAAATATCTCCACCAGAGACAGCAGGGGAGAAGTCTATAACAGAGAGTGATAATGACAGTGAAAATAAGTTTGAAGACAAGATGAGTGACTTACTATGATATTCTGTAATAGTAGGTTGGATCAAGGGTTGAGTGGGTGGAAGAGGTTACCCACTGGGCACAGAAGTCAGTTCAACGTTTAGTTTTGATTTACGTGAAATTTAGACGAAATTCCCTTACAATTATGACTTTTTGCAAATTCAATAATTTCCCCACGTGATTAAACATCATCACAAACAGTGATTGACTTTGAAAACCTGACTTGCAAGATTACATTTTTCAAATATTTACTATTTACTTCATTACATTGGGGCAGTTGGGCAACAAATGGCAGCAAAATAATTTGCCCCCAGGGATGATTGACTGTACTTTGACAATGTCACAGCAGTGTCAATGTCCAGAACCACACCTCCTGTCATGGCTAATCTGCCTATGTTACAGTTATGCCCTGAAGGCATTTGGTAATATCAGATCTATTGCATGTTCTCTTCAAATGTATGAAGCAAGGCAATGACTAAAAATACGAAATTCCCTTACATTTTGCAAATCCAATAATTTTCCCACATTGATTCAACATCATCACATAGATATTTTTGTTGTTGAAATGACCAAGAAAGTATTCACCCCCCTTGGCATTTTTCCTATTTTGTTGCCTTATAACCTGGAATTAAAATTGATTTCTTTGGGGTTTGTATCATTTGATTTACACAACATGCCTTCCACTTTGAAGATGCAAAATATTTTTTATTGTGAAACAAACAAGAAATAAGACAAAGAAACAGAACTTGAGCGTGCATAACTATTCACCCCCCCAAAGTCAATACTTTGTAGAGCCACCTTTTGCAGCAATTACAGCTGCAAGTCTCTTGGGGTATGTCTCTATAAGCTTGGCACATCTAGCCACTGGGATTTTTGCCCATTCTTCAAGGCAAAACTGCTCCAGCTCCTTCAAGTTGGATGGGTTCTGCTGGTGTACAGCAATCTTTAAGTCATACCACAGATTCTCAATTGGACTGAGGTCTGGGCTTTGACTAGGTCATTCCAAGACATTTAAATGTTTCCCCTTAAACCACTCGAGTGTTGCTTTAGCAGTATGCTTAGGGTCATTGTCTTGCTGGAAGGTGAACCTCCGTCCCAGTCTCAAATCTCTGGAAGACTGAAACAGGTTTCCCTCAAGAATTTCCCTGTATTTAGCGCCATCCATCATTCCTTCAATTCTGACCAGTTTCCCAGTCCCTGCCGATGGTGTTCTTGGGGTGATGAGAGGTGTTGGGTTTGCGCCAGACATAGTGTTTTCCTTAATGGCCAAAAAGCTCAATTTTAGTCTCATCTGACCAGAGTACCTTCTTCCATATGTTTGGGGAGTCTCCCACATGCCTTTTGGCGAACACCAAACGTGTTTGCTTATTTTTTTCTTTAAGCAATGGCTTTTTTTCTGGCCACTCTTCCGTAAAGCCCAGCTCTGTGGAGTGTAAGGCTTAAAGTGGTCCTATGGACAGATACTCCAATCTCCGCTGTGGAGCTTTGCAGCTCCTTCAGAGTTATCTTTGGTCTCTTTATTGCCTCTCTGATTAATGCCCTCCTTGCCTGGTCCGTGAGTTTTGGTGGGCAGGTTTGTTGTGGTGCCATATTCTTTCCATTTTTTTATAACGGATTTAATGGTGCTCCG